TTATGGGAAGATTGCTATAATTTAGCTCAGGTGCATCCTGTTTCCATTGATCATCCTTGAGATGTTTCTACAACTTGATTGGAGTCCACCTATGGTAAATTGAATTGATTGGACATGATTTGGAAAGGCACACGCCTGTCTATATAAGGTCCCACAGTTGACAGTGCATGTCAGAGCAAAAACCAAACCATGAGGTCGAAGGAATTGTCCGTAGAGCTCCGAGACTGGATTGTGTCGAGGCACAGATCTGGGGAAAGGTACCAAAATATTTCTGCAGAATTGAAGGTCCCCAAGAACACAGTAGCCTCCATCATTCTTAAATGGAAGAAATTTGGAACCACCCAGACTCTTCCTAGAGCTGGCTGCCCGGCCAAACTGAGCAATCGGGGGAGAAGGGCCTTGGTCAGGGAGGTGACCAAGAACACGATGGTCACTCTGACAGAGCTCCAGAGTTCCTCTGTGGAGATGGGAGAACCTTCCAGAAGGACAACCATCTCTGCAGCGCTCCACCAATTAGGCCTTTATGGTAGAGTGGCCTGACGGAAGCCACTCCTCAGTAAAAGGCACATGACAGCCCGCTTGGAGTTTGCCAAAAGGCACCTAAAGGACTCTCAGACCATGAGAAACAAGATTCTCTGGTCTGATGAAACCAAGATTGAACTCTTTGGCCTGAATGCCAAGCGTCACATCTGGAGGAAACCTGGCACTATCCCTATGGTGAAGCATGGTGGTGGCAGCATCATGCTGTGGGGATGTTTTTCAGCGGCAGGGACTGGGAGACTAGTCAGGATCGAGGCAAAGATTAATGGAGCAAAGTACAGAGAGATCCTTGATGAAAACCTGCTCCAGAGCTCTCAGGATCTCAGACTGGGGCGACGGTTCACCTTCCAACAGGACAACGACCATAAGCACACAGCCAAGACAACGCAGGAGTGGCTTCAGGACAAGTCTCTGAATGTCCTTGAGTGGCCCAGCCAGAGGCCCGGACTTGAACCCGATCTAACATCTCTGGAGAGACCTGAAAATAGCTGTGCAGCAACGCTCCCCATCCAACCTGATAGAGCTTGAGAGGATCTGCAGAGAAGAATGGGAGAAACTTCCCAAATACAGGTGTGCCAAGTTTGTAGCGTCATACCCAAGAAGACTCTAGGCTGTAATCGCTGCCAAAGGTGCTTCAACAAAGTACTGAGTAAAGGGTCTGAATACTTATGTAAATGTGATATGTGTTTTTTATTTTTAATAAATTAGCAAAACAATCTAAAAAAAACAGTTTTTTCTTAGTCATTATGGGGTATTGTGTGTAGATTGAGGGGAAAAAATGATTTAATTAATTTTTGAATAAGGCTGTAAGCTAACAAAATGTGGGAAAAGTGAAGGGGACTGAATACTTTCTGTTTGTTGCCACTTATTAAGCATCCTAAGTATTTGATATTTTTTGTGGTCCACTTAAAGGATTACTGTAGATCATGAGTTATACTATTTATTTTCCTATTACCATTATTTATTTGTTTAAATCCACATACATTTTATATCCTGAGATTTTAGAGTATTCTGAAAATATTTTTAACAAGGGGGTCATTGAGTTTTCAATATTGGTCAGGTATATCAGGAGATCATCTGCAAAGAAGTTTAGTTTATATTCATGTTTACCAATACTGATACCTGTTATGTTTGGGTCCTGTCTAATTATTTCTGCAAACGGTTCAATTGCCAGTGCAAACAGGAGGGTGGAGAGGGGACATCCCTGTCTTGTGCCCCTTTCTAAAGCAATTTCATCAGATAATGTATTATTTGTGTATATTTTTCTTTAGGACATTTATATAATGTTTTTTTTAATGTATTATTTCAGCTGGAAAGTTGAAAGCTTCCAATGTTTTGAATAGAAAATGCCATTCAAGACGGTCAAAAGCCTTTTCGGGCATCAACAGCCATTATGATAAATCTATATCTTGTTTTTAGCGTATTGTATTAAACTGAAACATGTTCTTGTATTTGTTTGTGTTTATTTTTAATAAAGCCTTTTTGATATGTATCAAGTCTGGTAAGACTTTTGTCAATATATTGCTTATGAGCTTTGTTATTTTATTGTCACAATTTATTAAACTTGGGTCTGTAATCAGCAGGGGACTCTCCAGATTTTCCTGGTTTAATATCACTGAAATAATTGTTTGATACATGGAACTAGGAAGCACTGAATTGAGTGACGTGTGTTTTCATTTGCGTAAATACTGTTTTAACAGCGTCTAGTATTTCTTTTTGGCTAATCTCTGTTTTTAGTGATTATTTTTTGTCTGCTGATAATTGCTTCAGGGTTGTTGAGTCTAAGAAGGCTGTAGGATCAGTTGTTTAATTCTGATTTACATAGATTTTCATTGAAGATTTTAAAATGGTTATTAATTGCATTGTTTCTAATTCATATATTTGTATCTTTATCTTTTTAAATTATAACTGGTTTGGCGTGTATTTGTTTTGTGAGGGCTGCGAGATGTTTACCAGGTTTATTTGCCATTAAGTAGTATGCTTTATTTGAGTTTAACCTGTAGTTGTTTCTCTTCAAAAGTAAAAGATCATATTCCTGCTTAAGTTCAGAAATTGTATTTTCTTCTTTACCTTGTAAATATTTTTTTATGGGCTTTTCTTAGAGATACATTTGTAATTTTTCTTTCATTTTAATTTCTAACTCAGATTTAACTTTTGCCGAGTATGAGATTATCATTCCCTTAATGTACGCCTTAAAAGGATCCCAAATTATATTGGGGGTCGGCTTTTCTCTGTCCTCTATGTCTAAATTTGTAATGGTAAAGGTTTTTATTCTTTCATTTACGTATTTAATACATTTCGGGTCTTGAAGATGCGCTCTGTTGATTCTACATATTCTGTTGCGTATTTTCTGTTAGTATAATTAAGCATGATACCCGAGAATGATCCGATATCACTATGTCGTGGATTTTTTAAAACCATTTTAGGGGGTGGGGGAATGTAGTCAATTCTTGAATAGCTTTTCTTACTTTGAGAAAAAAAGGAGTAGTCTTTTGAAGTTGGAAATAGTTATCTCCAGGTGTCCTGTAAATTATTTGTAGAGATTACATTTTTCTGCCTTTGTAGAGATTACATTTTTCTTCACAAGGTTTTCACACACTGTTGCTGGTATTTCGGCCCATTCCTCCATGCAGATCTCCTCTAGAGCAGTGATGTTTTGGGGCTGTCGCTGGGCAGACTGGCTAGGCCACTCCAGGACCTTGAAATGCTTCTTACGAAGCCCCAAAGCATGATGTTTCCACCCCCATGCTTCACAGTAGGTATGGTGTTCTTTGGATGCAACTCAGCATTCTTTGTCCTCCAAACACGACGAGTTGAGTTTTTACCAAAAAGTTATATTTTGGTTTCATCTGACCATATGACATTCTTCCAATCCTCTTCTGGATCATCCAAATGCACTCTAGCAAACTTCAGACGGGCCTGGACATGTACTGGCTTAAGCAGGGGGACACGTCTGGCACTGCAGGATTTGAGTCCCTGGCGGCGTAGTGTGTTACTGATGGTAGGCTTTGTTACTTTGGTCCCAGCTCTCTGCAGGTCATTCACTAGGTCCCCCCGTGTGGTTCTGGGATTTTTGCTCACCGTTCTTGTGATCATTTTGACCCCACGGGGTGAGATCTTGCGTGGAGCCCCAGATCGAGGGAGATTATCAGTGGTCTTGTATGTCTTCCATTTCCTAATAATTGCTCCCACAGTTGATTTCTTCAAACCAAGCTGCTTACCTATTGCAGATTCAGTCTTCCCAGCCTGGTGCAGGTCTACAATTTTGTTTCTGGTGTCCTTTGACAGCTCTTTGGTCTTGGCCATAGTGGAGTTTGGAGTGTGACTGTTTGAGGTTGTGGACAGGTGTATTTTATACTGATAACAAGTTCAAACAGGTGCCATTAATACAGGTAACGAGTGGAGGACAGAGGAGCCTCTTAAAGAAGAAGTTACAGGTCTGTGAGAGCCAGAAATCTTGCTTGTTTGTAGGTGACCAAATACTTATTTTCCACCATTATTTGCAAATAAATTCATTAAAAATCCTACAATGTGATTTTCTGGATTTTTTTCTTCTCAATTTGTCTGTCATAGTTGACGTGTACCTATGATGAAAAATACAGGCTTCTCTCATATTTTTAAGTGGGGGAACTTGCACAATTGGTGGCTGTCTAAATACTTTTTTTTCCCACGGTTCAATGAAATCAATGTGTATTTTCCACCATGTAAGGTATAATTCAACATTAGAAAACGGCCTTCTTGGTCCCTGTGCTGGGATATAAGGGAAACTGGTGTATTCCTATTTATCAGGATGCCTACACCTCTGCTGTTGCTACAGTAGGTGGCAGCCTAGGCCTCTCCAACCCAGCTCCTCTCGAACCCAGCTTTCTCCTTTTTTTAAATGTAACTCTTGAAGGAAAACCACATCTGCTGACAATCTTTTTAAGTGTTCAAGGGCCATTTGTTTATTTTTGTTATCATGGAGCCTGTGCTCATTCCATGTAATAAGTAGGATTTTTTTTTGTCTTTTATTGTATAGAATCAAAGTTATATTTGTCTGTTCCGTCTATCACTAAAGAACCAGATAAAACATTTTAGCAGACATGAGGGCGGTGGACATCCCATGCAATGGGAGAGTGATAGTATGAATACATAGTTATTGTATACATTAGATATATGGAGCATGTGAGCATGTGGGCTGAGCAAACATTTAACAGAGAATACACAAAAAACATAAAGCAAAGTTCTTCTTTGTACTTAGAGGCTCTATGCCTTTTTAGAGCTTTTATGCTCCAACTCCTCTCCTAATGTACCAAAAGTCTGTGGATTATGTCATTGTACATACAGGCTTTCCCGGACCAGGAAAACCTCTGGGCTCTAGTTTCTGCCTACTACCCATCATTGATACCACAGCTGCTGGGCATCAACCCATAGGCCTATGGTAGATCTATTTTGTGACTTGACAGTGTGTCTATTTGCAGATGGCAGGGTCTGTCCACTGCCCCAGTGAGAACGAGCCTGACGTGGCCTGCTGCTTCTTCTGTCTCAGAGAGCTGGAGTGCTGGGAGCCTGAGGACAACCCATGGTAAGTATGGTCCTTACACTAGAACCAGGGCCCGGAGTTATTACTGGTCTGTGCCCTAACTGTATGAGCCGCCATTAAATCCTCCTCACCATTCACATTGGATTCAATACCATTATTGTTCAGTCGAAACACTACACCTTTGACATTTGCATTATCAGAGTTGTCACTGTGATAATAATTGAGTCTTTAATGACCTACATGTCTCTGTCTTCTCTTTCCGCTCTCTGTTGTCCGTAGGTCTGAGCATATCAAACGCTCAACGTACTGTGGCTTCCTGGCCATGAGGAAAGACTTTGAGGAGCTGACTGTGGCTGAGTTCTATCATCTGGAGCAGGAGAGACTGCGCACCTACATTGTAAGTCACCAACCCTACCCTATATATATATTTTGACACAGTTTTCTATACAAGAAACTGTATTGTCCCCAATGGGAAAAAATGTCTTAGACAGGTACTGCTAAACATCATATACATTGCAGCCTCACACACATTGCACATGTCATACACATCATATACACCTACATCTTCTCATTCAAGACAAATACTTGATATACATGCATTGCACATTGTCCCTGTATTTTCTGCTGTGTGTAGACTCATGCCTTGACTGAAAGTTGTGCTTTTAAGTATTTTCTTTAAGTTCACAAGCTATTTGTTACTTGATGTAGGGTTGGGGTCATTTTCAGTTGACTTCTGTAGGCCTAAGTTGTGTATTACTTGGAGTTTGCCCGTGTCAATAGCATGTAATTTCTACTGTTGCAGAGGAAGACTTTCCATCTGAAGATCGGCATTTTTCGAGATAAGGTGGAGGAAACAGTTGATTACATGAGAATGCTGTTTGATTCGGCACCTATAATGTAGTTGACATTAAGGAGTGTATATTTTAGCCTTTGGTGTGTGTTTTCTTATCTGTAAATATTTTGGTGTGAATTGATACAGTTTTTCTATTCTATACCTTTTAATGCAGTATTGCAGGATTTTCTAAAATGTTATGCAGTATTGCCTCTTACCACAAGGTGGTGCCTTCACACTGGAGTAGTGCTGTTTTCAAACATTATGTCGCAGATATGTACCATAGCTCAGGTTCTCCAGCCCATATTCACAAAGCCTCTCAGAGTAGGCGTGCTGATTTAGGATCAGTTTTGCTTTTTACATCATAATGAATAAGATTGTATTGACAGGGTGGACCTGATCCTAGTTCAGCACCACTACTCTGGCTGCGTTTACAAAGGCATCCCAATTCTGATCTTTTATTTCACTAATTGGTCTTTTGACCAATCAGACCAGCTCTGAAAAAAAGATCTGTGAAAAGATCTGATGTGATTGGTCAACAGACCAGTCAGTAGAAAAAAGATCAGAATTGGGCTGCCTGTGTAAACGCAGCCTCTGAGACACTTTCTGGACCCTAATTCCCCGGGGCAATCATGACTGAAAGAAGGCACACATTGAACATCCCACAAAATAACAATGTTTCCTGATTTTTTTTATCCCAAATACTTGCCGTTGGGTTTTCCTGAACGTGCCACCGCCACCATTTCTTTCTGCCTCATGTTTTCAAACCTTGACCCTGGACAGATGGCCCCTTAAGCCCGTCCCACTCAATACCAACTGTTGCCCTAGTAACATCTGTCGCTTATAGGGGCGCGTTCAGCAGGGAGAGGCGTGGCACATAGGGGTGTACTGAGCTATAGGACTGAGACGGTGCACAGGGACGCTGGGGTGCTCCTGGAGAGGAAAAGTTGGAGGGGGATGCTAGAGTATCAGTTGGATTTTTTGCTGAATCGGCAGTTAGTTGTCTCAGCAGCATTAGCATAGATCATGTCATGTGACTGTGAGGAAGTGTACCATGGACTCGATGAGGGGTATGGGACATGTACAGAATAATATCCTAAGCACTCATTTGCTTATTGTATTACTCCGACATATGCAGTGCCTAGTGAAAGTCAACACACCCCTTGCACAGTCTTTACATTTTCCTGCCTTGAAATTAAATGTAACGGAATAAATTACTTTTTTTTATATACCAGTTTACACAACCTACTCCACATTTTCAAGGTGAAAGACAAATTATAGTATTTTCAAAATTAATAAAAAACAAAGATGTCTTGTTTGCATATGTCTTCACACCCCAGAGTTAATACTTGGTGGAAGCACCAATACTGGACCATTCAGGAGCACTCAGCACCTACTAGAAAAACATTCTGGTGTGTTTTTTGCATTAGCATTTGTGTAATTGTCCTGCTGAAAACTAAAACTCTGTCCCAGGGTTAGATATTCAGAAGACTAATGCAGGGTTCCCTCAACATTTTAATCTGGGCTTTGCCCCTTTTCATATTTATTTTGATCCTGACAAACTCCCCAGTCCGGTGACAAGTATACCCATAACATGATGCTGCCACCACAATGCTTGAAAAAAGAGAGGAGCAACAGCATTGCATTCACTCCACATTACTGGCCAGTATTGCAAAGTGAAAAGAAGGAAGCCTGTGTTAAAAATCCACTCCAAATCATCCATTCTGTTTGCAACAAGGCAGTTAAGCAATACTGAAAGACAACATGGCAAAGAAATTAATTTTGGCCTAGATTAAAAACTACAGGCTTGGGTCAAATCCAACACTACACAAAACGAATTGTTCAGTGGGACAATTACACAATGTTAATGCCAAAGACACACTAGAATGGCTTTCCAAGATTGTTCCTGAGTGGCCTAGTTTCAGTCCTGACTTAACTTTGCTTGAAAATCAGAGACAACGTTTGAATATTGCTGTTCATCAATGATTCCTAACAAAATTTAGCAATTTTAACAAAAACAATGAGCAAAAGTTGCCCTAAGAGTTGTGCAAACTTGGTAGAATCGCGTTCGAAATGATTCACAGCTGTAATGGCTGTATTCAATTTTTTTCCAGAAAAGAAAGAATGGAAAAAAAGGTTTGCTATAATATTAAAAATGGCACTGTCCACATTACTGTCTTGTCTTTTTCATCCAGATCTCACAAGAGTGGAACTTGTATTTGTATTAGGCTACATTTTAAAAGTCCCATATGTCAGAACAAGATGTCCCACTGGGCACAAACTGGTTGTTTCAATGTAATTTGTCAATGTATTGTGACATGGAATCTATGTGGAAAATACATTGGCTTTGAACAAAGTTTGCAACTGTTGTTTTGAGGGTAACCACAGGACATCATGGTAACCAATTTTCTAAATAGACAAACCTTGTATAAAATGTGTTGAATTTGTACCTTTGAAACAACGTCAGATCTTCAACGTAATATCCACCATAAGAATATAATAGGCTAGAAAGCACCTCCTACTGGAGAGTTGATCTATCTACAGCTATCCCTTCAGTGTTTTAACCAAGCCCAGACCTGCTTGGCTTTGATATTTGCCACTGACTTCTACCATGTGCTATTGTGAGAACAATTGTTTGTGTAATCTCCACTTAATAGATACACTGTTGCTATCGAAGTCATTCCAAAGTGTAGGTTCAACCGAGTAAATGAAATGTAACCATACTTTATCAATCATATATCATCAATGATGCTATTTAGGCCTATCCCTCTGGGCAAAAACTGGTTGAATTAACGTTGTTTCCACGTCATTTCAACAAAAAAATTCAATGTGATGATGTTGAATCAACGTGGAAAACGGATTTGATTAGAAAAAAGTCAACAATTTATGGGAAATGTGTCTTTTTTTCACCCAACTTTTCACCTAAATCCAATGACATGGTTACATTTCTTGTTAATTTCACGTTGAATTTACAACTCAACCAAATGCCAAAACTAGACATTGAACTGAAGTCTGTGCCCAGTGGGATATAGCATTTGGGAAGTCATCAACAGCTAGCCTACTGTTTAAATTCAGCTCAGGATTCAACAAAAAATAGACAATACATATAGGCCTAGGGTTTCAAGCTTTGGTTGATTTCAAATGGAATCTACAAGCTAATAATTAATATTTTGGATTCACGTCTCCATCTCAACCAAAAATAAAAGTTAAAGAATAGGATTAAATCAAATCAAACTGTATTTAAAGTACATTTAAAATGTGTTTTGATTTGATTTAGTCATTTTCTTTAACTTAGATTTTGGTTGGAATGGAGACATGAATCCAACATATCAATTATTATTTTGTAGACAAACTGGAATTAAAGTCAGACTCAGTGGCACAGATTGAGCGATCAAGCAGAAGATTCCACTCCTTCAAAAGTTGATATTTGGTTGCGTTGACAACCAAACACAATTCAGTATCACTTTTGCAATATGGTAAATACCCTATTAACTTGTTAACAAATTATATGTTGGATTCACATCTCCATCTCAACCAAAAATAAAAGTGAAAGAATAGGATTAAGCTAGTGGCTCAGATGGAACTATACAAGCAGTAGATACAGCTCCTTTAAATGTTGATATTTGGTTGCCTTGTCAACAAACACAATTCAATATTACTTTAGTAAGACAGTAAATAGCCTAATGTTAAGGCTATTTTACAAATTAATGTAACAGTATTTATTCAACCTTTAAATTAGTAACACATTCATGGCCACATTTTGAAGTTACTGTAACAATAAATATTCTCTTATGTAATCATAGAAAGCGTGTGTCACGATCGTCTTGAGAATGAGCGGACCAAAGCGCAGCGTGTTGAACGAACATGACTTTATTGAAGAAAGCGCACACACGAAAACAAAACGAAACAAAACACGATCGTGAAGTCCTCAGTGACACAAACACGGAACACAGGAACAAAGGAACAAAAACCCACAAACACAAGGTGAAAACACACACTTTAAATATGGCTCCCAATCAGAGATAACGAGCCGACAGCTGACACTCGTTACCTCCGATTGGGAGTCACAAGACCAATTACCCCAAAAACACAAACAAATGAAACGCACCCATACCCAACACCACCAAATGAAATACACCCTGACTCTAACTACACAGTCCCAGAGCCAGAGTGTGACAGTACCCCCCCCCAAAGGCGCGGACTCCGACCGCGCCTACACCCAAAAAATGGGGAGGGCTGGGTGGGTGTTGCTCCACGGAGGCGGCTCTGGCACTGGTCGTGGTCCCCACCCCACCATAGTCACTACCCACTTAGGTAACCTCCTCCAACTGACCACCCTACATCCTAACCCCACTGGATTAAGGGGCAGCACCGGACTAAGAGGCAGCACCGGACTAAGGGGCAGCACCGGACTAAGGGGCAGCACCGGACTAAGGGGCAGCACCGGACTAAGGGGCAGCACCGGACTAAGGAGCAGCACCGAGCTAAGGGGCAGCACCGGACTAAGGGGCAGCACCAGGATAAGGGACAGCACCAGGATAAGGAGCAACACCGAGCTAAGGGGCAGCACCGAGCTAAATGGCGGATCCTGGCTGGCGACTCGCACCCCTGGTTTGGTGCGAGTGGCAGGAACAGGCCGGGCCGGGCTGGCGACGCTTACCGTTGGCTTCGTACGTGGCACAGGAACCGGCCGGGCTGGGCTGGCGACGCACACCGTAGGTTTCCTACGTGGCGCAGGAACCGGCCGGGCTGGGCTGGCGACGCACACCGTAGGTTTCCTACGTGGCGCAGGAACAGGCCGGGCTGGGCTGGCGACGCACACCGTGGGCTTGATGCGTGGAGTAACAACAGGCCGGTCCGTACTGGGAACACACACCACTGGCCTTAACCGGGGCTCAGGAACGGGCCGGACCGGACTGGTAACACACCTCAGTCTCTCACGCCGTGCCACAACAACTTCCCTCCCTCTACTCGCCAATGGCTCCCGTACTCCGGTAGCCTTCTCTCCACGTCTACCTGTGGCAGCCTCCTGCTGCCCAGCCGCCCAAGTCATGTGCCCCCCCCAAAAA